CATCGTGTTCTAGTTTTTAAGGGTTTTTATTGCAAAGAACAAATGGAGAATAATACAGTGAGAAAATGAACCAGGAAATACTACAGTTCTTTCATCTACCAACCTTTCTTCACCCCCTTTCTCCCCTTGTTGAAATGAAACTATAGCCGGCCCTCGTAGGACCAGTCTGCACATTCCTTTCAGACAGGCTGTGGTGCACGCAGAATGGGACTGGATTACACTGTAGTGTGAGGACTTGAGAGAAGCATCCCATGTCTATAAAATCCCTCATTTTAAAGGCCTATTTTACTCTTTCTATCTCAGCTTTCCTGGCACAAATTCAGAGAACCAGAGGAAACAAGTGTCATGCTCATTAGTATTATTACTTAATAAGAAAAATGGGGAATGGACATGAGCAAATGCAAGGAAATATGCACAGAGCTTAAATGTATGAAAAGCTGTTTATCTGCAGTCATAAGAGAAAAGGAAAGTAAAACCACAAAGAGACCATATTTTTTACTTCCCAGGTTAGCGTCATCCTGAGGTGTAACAGCCCATTCACTTTCCATCCTTCTTACACATGGTGTTAGGAGAGCTCAGGGGGTTTTGTATGGGTGGGAGATAGCACCGCTCTCACTCACGGGTGCATACATTGAAAATGTCAGAAAACTCGATGTTTATTGAAGCAATTTTTATAGCAGCAAATTAAAGGAAATAGATCAGGGATCTCTTGGAGGGAGCTAATAAAATACATTTTCTATTTACCAGTGATACTTCGTGGTTTTCCAAATGTTGCTGCACACTGACATTAAAAGAGCTCTGAGATTAATAAATGAAAAAATAAGTTCACTCAATGTATATTGCAAGCCATCTTTGTGTAGGAAATGAAAATAGGAAGAAACATATACATATACACATACACATATATTTATGTATGCACATCTACTTTTGCAGAAATTAGTGTTTGAATTTTCAGCCATGTGATTGCAATATTTAACAATTTTAATACATATTCCTCATGCATATTATATTTTGATACCATTTTCCATGTTACATAAGAATTCATATTTCTGGATGATGGATTTATCTTGTAACTTCCTTTATTAATTTGTTATCGGGCATCCGGAATAATGTAGGGCAATTCAACACAGGGCAATAGCGAGTGAACATCTTCACATGTACATTTCAGTGTTCACGTTTTGTTCCCGAGTGAGCTGATGGTGCTGATGCTTTGATCAGGTGGAAGTTCCCATGCCTGGTCAGTGTGCTCTGCCCACGATGGCCCCCAGTGATTTGCCATCTGATGAGACAGTCAAGCCGAAGGTCAGGTGCTGTTTCACTCACTTGATCTTCACTCTGGTTGTGCATCAGAATCAATGAAAGGTTGTTTTTTAAAATCCCCAAAGTGGACACTGTATCAGTGGCTCTCCGTGGCTCCCAGTAGGAGAGGAAGAGACACAGGTAGAATAGACTGAACAGCATGTCTGGGGTTAGACAGAATTTGAATCATGTAGACTGTGGGATTTTAACACTGACCATATTAACCGTGTGGCAGACTGGCTATGTGTCATTGGGTGTATTCACCACTGGGACTTACTGTGTGTTCAGCATTGGGCAGGTTGAACATTTGGGCTAACAGTGATTCACATGATGCTCCTGAGGCCTGGCTGTTATAGTGTCATAAACATGTCTGTAATATGCAGAGCGAACATTAGAAAGGTCAAAAACTGCCTTGCAGAAATCCCAATGCTCATAAGTACAGGGGACCCTTGAGTTACAACCGGCTGGCATACAAACAACTTGGTCTATACCCAGAATTTTAGCAGTAACTTACTACCAAAGTCTTGAGTTATATCCCAGATGTTGGCCGTTCATGCTTCCAGGTGGTCTCATATACAGATTTAGCCCTTAAAGAATTCTAGGGGGAACATTACAATATCCTTTCTTGTATGGGGTTAATTGAGAAATCCTGGGCCAATATCTCTCTAGGGACACTCAGATGTGCCTGGAAGAAAGTGTGGCCTAAAAATATATAGGAGAGAGATTTTGAAGGCAATTGATCAACTTGAATTACAACCAGCCCTCAAAAACAAATTGAGTTCATAAGTCAAATATCCACTGTATTTGCTATTCAAACAAAACAAAAGCAATCAAATACACAGCCTAAAAGACAGAAACCAGAACTTTAGTCACGTAAACTTTTCCTATTTTCTTTTTTGGTACTGGGGATTGAACTCAGGATCTTGTGCTTGCAAGGTAGGTGGCAGCACCAAGGAGCTAAATCCCTGAGCCCTACATAAACTTTCATAGCTCATACAAATGTTCAGTTTCTAGACTGTTGGGTGAATAATAACATCTCTTTTTCTTCAGGTTTTATTCTATTACTCAGACTTGCCAGTAAGTAGTTATACAGGACTTTGATGAATATAATTAAGTCAATTATTATAAATTGTAACCCACTTGATAATCAAAAATCTTCAAAAATGAAATCTACTATGAAAAGAATTCCAAAGGATGCAGGAAGGGCATAATGGGGGAAATCATGAGACTTGTTACCCAGAAGTTTTGATGTTTTTTAATCATTGAGAACCAAGGATTTTCTTTAATAGTTTTTTTTTTTCACAGCTGAGAAGGACATGATGTCCTCTAGTTGCATAATAATCAATGAGACATAAGTGTCCACCTGTGGAATTGGATAAACATTTGCAGCATTCTTCCACAGAATACCTGCCTTGGACTTGAATCATAGAAGTTCTTTTGGGCAGCGGGAGGTCAGTGGGTAAAAGACTTCCCAACAAGGAACCTTAAATAGCAGGCTTGCCTAGTGGTCTGCCATTGAAGAGCACAGGAGCCAGGAGGAGGAAATATGGGCAGGTAAGGAGGTCGTTCTTTCCACCAGCTCTGAGATTAATGAGGAGGGAGATTTTCAGGTTTCCAGTCTAGGATCAAATAGTTCAGAAGGTAAAAGCAGAGCCCTGAAGACAAGATACTTAGGTTCAAATCCCAGCTTTGCTGCTTGTTAGCTATGTAGCTATGGGAAGTTTCCTTTGACCTCTTTGCCTCAATTACCTCTTTTCTAGAACAGAGACAATTAAAAAAACCAACAGGGTGCTTATGACAAATGAAGTAACTCATGCTTAAACAAGTAACTGGTTCATAGTAAGCAGTATATAACTAACTGCTGTCACTATGTGATTATGGGGCCAACCACCTTGCATAGTAATCTGAAGTTAACTTAGACACTGTCTTCTAAAAATGGGTACATTTAGGAAATGTGAGGAAACTACAGAGAACAGTAATGTGTCACACATTTTGAAAAGCTAGAAGAAAGAATTTGGAATGTTTTCACGGCAAGGAATTAATATTTAAGGTGATAGGCATGCTCAACCTAAGTTAAACATCACACAACGTATACAAGCACCAAATACCACATCAATTTCATAAAAATGTACAACTCTTACATGCCACTTAAAAACAAACAAAAAAGGGCCAATGTCATGGCCAATAACAGGCAGACCAAGTAGCTTCGGCTCTATCTGGGTTTGATGTGTGGCTCCTCATTCTGGGTCTTCCCTCCACACTATCTGGCTTCCCTGCATGGAGCAACTGTGCTGTGGTGGGTAAGCTCTGGACCAAGAAGGGTGAATATGCTGCCCCAAGATGATACTTATCTGCTGCCCCAGAAATGCACTTGATCATTCCAGGATGCCCCATAAGGTGATTCTGAGGACCTCCATGCTCATTTAGTCTATGAGAGCAGCTAGCTGTCAGAACAATATGGATATCCAGGAAACGACATTATCCATCCTGCTAGGCCTGGGCTCATTGTTAACTTCATCATTGCCCTCCCCAAAATAGCAGTTGTTATCAATTACACACACTACCAAAGGAATAATTTATGGACCTCTTTTTTTTTTTTTTTTAAAGGGAGCAACTACAGTGACTCCAGAGCAGGTCAGAGTCTTATCCAAATAAAGACAAATGTGAAGTTAGTGACTAATGAGTAGCCATGTGTGCACCTGTGAAGAAAACACAAATGTATTGACAGGTGCTTAAGGTATTTCTCTCTGATTCATGAGAGGATGCCTTTAGTAAAGAAGCAATGCAAGCCTTGTGTTTTTGTTTTCCCTGTTAAAAGTAATGAAAGGAAGATAGATGATCATGCATATAATTGTTATTATTTTGTAAAATAGTGACCTCAGAAGTTAGGCTAATTTTTCCAATCTATAAACCAGACCACAATTGTACCTAACTAGAAGAATTCCAAGAGGACCATGGATGTGCAATGGAGTAGAAGCTCAGTCCCTATTCCACCCCACCCATCCTTTCTACACAGAATGGAGCTCATCCTTGGAGCTTGAAACATGTGACTACGAGATTTTCTGTTTCTTCAGTACCAGTGCTGTGAAGGACTTGCCTATCGCAAGCAGTATCGTCTTATCTGGTCCACACAACCCCAGCAGACAGGGCATGCTAACTTTACTCTACATAAGAAAATTACAGTGCAAAGAGTTCAAGTATCTGATAGTGAACTACTCCCCTTTAGTAAATTCCAGGCCCAGGATTGAAACCTTGGCTCTGTGGCTCCAGAGTCCATGTGCTCAGCCCTTCTATCATGTTGCTCCTTGGGGTTGCTGCCTTTTGTGGGGAAACAGTGAGGATCAAGATGTATGATGCTGTGAGCACTAGTGCAGAGCTGAGCACACGCAGTTCCAGTCATTCTTGAAGGTTTTCTATTGTCATCGATTGTCTCAGACCTTGAACCTTAATCTGGTAACCTTGAAAAGAGCAGTGACAATGGGCATCTTCAACTGTGTGTGGCATCTGTTGGAATCAGTGCCCAAGGGAGGAGTCACAGCCACCAACACAGGGAGAGACATACAACGTGGTGTCAGAGCCTTGGTAGCCATGAGGTCTCAATATTGCGGCTTAGTTGTGCTATTTTTCAATTAAATTTCATCAAATTGAAACACACAATGAATGCCCAGAGAAGACTTTTGGTATGTTTTTATTGTGTCTATTACAAATATCAAAGTACAGTTAAATAGCAAAGAAGCCGTCAGTGTGGGTTGACTGGAGATTTCCAGGGTTGACCCAGCCTATTGGAAGAGACCCTGACCAGAAGCAGTGAGCTGTGCATACTGAGGCTGTGAAGACCTGGGCTGGCTGGAGGAGCTGTGGGGACCATGGAAGGATGGCGCTCCGGGTTACCGCTGGCCAAGCCTTTTTGTAACAGAGGGAAGTTGCAGACTTTGCACATGGGTGCACGTGTCTCCATCTGTCAGGTGCTTTTCCCGTCACAGAAGACAGCTGACCTTCTGCACAGACAGTAGGTGACCAGCGCCCCATGGAGGGCACTCTTGATCAGCAGCAGGAGATAGGTGTAGTAGGCAGAGGTGCTGCTGAACTGCAGGTCCAGTAAATCTAAGAGAAGTCAGGTCATGAGCTTCAGCTGCTCTGAGACAGCACTGGACACACAGTGGGGAGTTGTCACAGGGTGTTGGAGTGACACCAGCCCTCAAACCCAAGCCCAAAGGTTAGCACCTTCCACTCCTGCCAGGGCCACCAAGGGTGAGATTCAATTTGCAACTCAACTCAATGAACAACCTCTGCTGAATTACCTAGAAGCTTCTTAGTATTAAATAGTCAGGTCCATAGTTAATAAATGAATCCAATTAGAGGAAAAGTTGTGCAATAAATTGGTTGGAGAATTTTTTCATCCCCAACATATCTCCAAGTAATAATTAGAGATAATATTTATGAGCCATTGGGCAAATGCTGAACTGTATTCTGAGAGATTTAAACGTAAATGTAAATTTTACGTATTGTCTATAACAATCTAGAAAAGAAGAAGGAAAGGAGGAAGGGAGAGAGAAAGAGGGAGAAGGGTTTTCACTTACATTTTGTAATTGAACTGAGGGCACAGTAAGAAGCAATTTTTTTGATATCATGAATTACTAAGTGACAGCCCCAGATTTGGATCCAAAAAAAATGGCACTAAAAAAACACATTCTTATCTGTTTTTCATCTTCAAATGTAACAAAAAAACATAAAAACCTTGTATTAGGTTGAATTGCTAACTTGAAGCATCTGAGGGATTATGCACTGCCCACACTGTGAGATGTGGGGGAAAGGGACAATCCAGGGGAATACACTGGTGCACACAGTCAGGTGGGTGTGTGAGTTTAGAAAGAAGGGGCAGTGCAGGAAATGTGACAAAGTGGTTAATCTAAATTCTATGGGATGCACAGTGGCTGTGGCATGCTGCTCTGTCTTGTGAGCATTGCTTGCAAGCATCGCTTGTTGTTGCTGTCATGTTATTGGGCAGTTACAGTGAAGATCCTTTGTAATTCTGCAAGAAATATGTGATGTCAAGACATGATTAAAGACAATCACAGTGGGTCACAGTGGCTACACCATGCATCCCAATGCCAATTCTCTGCCTGGGGAAATTTCCGTTTTACATGGTCCATCTTCACAGTTGGAACTCAAGAATCACTAGCTCTTGAGAAGAAAGGAATCTCAGTAAATCTGTTCCTAACTCTCTGCCCTTGGTCAGGGAAGGGTTATCTCCTACCTCATTGCTCAGTGTGGCATCTGAAGTCCAGAGCCTCATGAACACTGGAAACAGAGGGGAAACAGAGGAAAGGCCAGCAGGGTGGACCAAATACCTCAGGTCACATTCTTGGTACACATAGAGGGAGAAGGGCCAGAAACTAGTACTGATCATGAGCCTGCTAAATGGGCCGCCATGTTGGATGCTTGTCATCTGGGCCCTGATGCCTCCGGTAAGTAAGTGTGGTATAATTCTGAGTTTGGTATAATTATTGGTTGGCAGGTGAGCAGTTATTGCTCACAAATGATGTCCCTCCTCCATGTTCCTGCAAGTGATAATTAAGACACCTGGGCTGCACCCAGTCTGTGGGGCTCAGAAGCGTGCACTTCCCACCCCGCCACATGTCCATCCTGACCCTGGGCCTTGGCCTTGGAGTTTCTTGGCCTGTGACTCTACTGTAGTAAAAGAAGAGCAGAGGAGGAGTAAGGGCATAAGCTTTTCATTAAAGGTCTTGAATTGAACCTCCAGACCTGGCTGCGCAGTGTGTGAAACAGGCTCAATTAATTTTAGCTCATTTTCTTCATCTGTAAAATGGGGTGAAAACTACCGTGTCACGAGAGAGAAGCATTATGAAGATTGACCGGGAAACCTGAGCAGCACACGGCCCAAGGTCTTCTGTACACAGGACTCAATGCCAGATCTTCTTGCTAGTGACTTAAAAAATGTGTAGGTTTCACTAGCTGTTATGCTTTCTTCATTCATTACAAGTAAATGAATGAACAAATGAAATATGTTTGTTCAAATGGTTTAGACACGTCACTGTGTCCTCTGATTACAGTCATGTCTTACTTAAGTCACTAGTTTACCGTATGCATATGAAAGGGAAGCATTACTTTAGGGTGTGACACTATTTTGCAATGGCTAGCCATTCTGTTTTTACTAATTTACGCCAAGACAATTCAAGTGAAGGTGATCAAGAAGAAAAAAGTGCGGAAGCATGACATTGAAGTAATTAGACAGTAAAACTTACCATCTTTGGAGGAAGTTCCTGATTCAGTAGTATTGACAACTAGAAGATAGGAGAACAAATACTTGGAGATTATTCTTGCCTATTGTTTGGCACTCTGTATAAATGTGTGTGTGTGTGTGTGTGTGTGTGTGTGATATTTTTGGTAAAGACACAACAGAGATATTCAGAGTTAATATTAATAAAAGCTATTACATGTTGATTGATCACTTGTGGGCCAGGCACTGTGCTACCTGCTTCACTTGGATACTCTTTTTCACTTCCCCCAACAACATCTAAGTGAGTTTTCCTCTGATACGAATGAGGAACTAGATTGAAAGGCTGTAGCAGAAAATCTTCTAGTATCTTAATTATTCTTAGTAAATGACCTTTTAAAAAATCTAGAGATTGACCATTGGGCACAATTCTTTCCCATAAGAGAAAGATAAGACTGGTTATTTTTCTGTTTCTTGGAATAAAATTTGAGATGAGAATTATCCTTATCTATCATGGCTCTTAGGAATTGAATTAATTTAAAGTGTGACTTGTAGACTATTCTATAACCTGTACACCTTTAGCCCTTTTCTTCCTATTTCACACTGTCAATTATATCACTAGGTTCTTATGTACCATTATAGTGTCATGCAGGCTTTTCTACCTAAAGCCAGAAAAGTGCAAATAAGGGATCAGGAGGGAATATAAAAGTATACTGCCATAAAATACAGCAGACATACACGAAACTTACCATTTTCATCTGTCAGACTAGCTTCTCTGGGACTAAGAGTGGTGACAACTACAAGAAATGAGACAGTAGTCGGTTAGTCATCCCTATTGTGTGTGTATAAATAAATATATATGGATAATTAGATAGACACAGTCCTGACACACAAACACAAGAGACTTTCATTTTTCTAATTAACAAAACACTTTCTTTGCAGTGCTGAGGATGAAACCCAGGGCTCTTGCATCCTAGATATGGTCTCTCTACCCCTGAGCTCTGTTCCCAGCCTGAGATAACCATCAAAAATATGAACACTGCAGCTACAAATAAAAGTGGCCTTCAAAAATGTGATGCAAGGAAGACCAAACAGCATATTAGATGCATTTGAAGGAGTCTGACTTAGAGAAATTTTCCCACTTAAGCAGAAAAAAGCAGCCTAGTTTTAAAATCATGTGTATTACCAATATCCCTGAGTCATTTACAGGACTTTCCGGAGATGATGCATTTGTGAACATGAGGACATCGATCTTAATGCTAAAGGTGTAGGGAAAGTGGGAAGGGTAGGGGAAAGGTACTAAGGGAAAAGGAAAAAAAAATATGAGAAAATGAAAAAATGGAAATAAAGTGTTTGTGAATGGGGAGGGGAGGAAGGGGTGAAGGGAGGGCGGGGACAAGGGGAAAATTGAGAACCAAGACCTGTCATGTAGAGATACAAGATCCCAACAATGAATGTAACTGTGCTGTATCCTTAAAATGTACCAGTAAACTCAATGAGAAAAGAGAAAAGAGCGTTGCCACACCAGGCACTGTGTTCAGTGCTTCTCCCACATCATCTTGTTTAAACCCCCAGTAACACTAAAGTGATTTGTGTTCTGTACAGTTCCATATTACCAATGAGGAAACAGAGTTTAAAGAGTAGAGGTAACATACCAGAGACTAGCAGAGCCAGGATCCAAAGGGTAGTGTAAAGAATTATAAGATACACAACCTATGGCATGCATGTTATTTGCTTTTCTTTTAAGAAAAAAGATGTTAATGTAGAGTTGTTTTTTCTAAACCGAAACCTCCGTATTCAGGTTTTATGGCAGTGTTGGCACTTTGCAGTAAATAAATGGGCTTTGGGTTACAGTCTGGACAGTCATCTCTAAAATGTTCGCCATCGCTGAGAACATATGGAAAATACTTTGCAAAACTAATGCATAGACATCTAGAGAAAATAATTATAGAGAGAACACAATTCCACCATTGTGGATGGATGCTATGAAAATCTCCTAGTATTTTCATCATTCTTTGCGGGAGTTGAACATTTCAGTCATTATGGTTAATTTCAATACAGTACAGTCATTCTTTGTGGGAATAGAAAGACAAAGTCTACATTTGTCATTCTCCGAATAAAAGCTAAGGTTAGCATTTATTTATCTATGATTAAAAAACAAAACTCAAGCCGGGCGTGGTGGCTCACTCCTGTAATCCCAGCACTTGGGAGGCTGAGGCAGGAGGATCGTTGTGAGTTTGAGACCAACCTGGGCTACATAGTGAGTTCCAGGTCAGTCTTAACTACAGAGTGAGACCCTGTCTCAAAAAAACAAAAAACAAACAAACAAACAAACAAAAACCAATACTCAAAAAAACTGGATAGCCTTATTTCTGCAGTCAGGAGAAACAACACACAAGTGAGTGAAATTCTTTTCTTGAAATAATTGAGAGCACATTGTTGTGTTCTCTAATCAACAGTCACATAATGCCAAGATCAGTAGTTTATTGTGTTGGTGTAAAGGAAATGCTAGAGAAATTGAAAAGCTAAAATGCTCAGGAAGAGGGAAAAAAGGTGTAGCAAAGGTAAACACCACTGAAACTTACCATTTTGATCTTTCAATTCAGCTTCTCTGGGATTAATAAAATTGACAGCTAAGACAAATGACAGCAAGTACTAGTCAGTTATCCAAGGCTATTATTTAACAGTATATGTATGTGCACATACATTTTATATATGTAAATATCAATTTATACAATCTGTTGACAGAAAGGTAGGAGAAACTGACGGTAGAAATGTGAGTCCTGCTTCCACCAACCTAATTTGTCTGTATGAGATTCGGTAGATATTTCATATATTATATTGCTCCACGGGAAGATGTCAAAGATCCCACATTAGTTTTGTATCTCTTCAAAATCACTTCATTCATTTCTGTTTCTGTGTATTTTTTAGCTTTAAAAAACAATCTTCAAGAAGCAGCAATAGAAAAAAAACCGCTATAGGATGAAGTTGACAGAACACCTTCCTTGATTCTGTTGCTATGAAAGATGTTAGTTTACATATTTGATGCCAAATAAAACCTCATTACACTGGAACTGCTCTCCTATGTAGTATTCATTACCATGAAATTTAGTATTCATTTTACTTTTCCCCGATCACTTGAAAAAAATCAGAACGTAACTGGCCACCTAAATATTAACCTTGCATTTTGCATATTTTCCTCTTTTCTTTTTTTTTTTTTTAGGAATGAAAATAAAAGTTGGGGATATTTTTGTAATTATACTTTAATTTGTTTTAGAAAAGATACAAAACAATGCACTTCTACATAAATGCATGTAAGCTATATTTTGAAAAGCAAATGTTTTCACTGCCACCATTTCATTTGCTGTTCCTCATTGCCCCACAGAAAGTCAGGCAACTGTTGAGGCCTCACTGATCACTGCAGAAACAAAAGGTCCCAGAGGATGGAGACTCACTGGAAAATCTGGATGGTTGGTGAGAAAGATCTTCACAGTTTTGTCATGTGAATGTTTCCCAATGGTTCAAAAGAGCTTATTAGCTATACAGGAACGACCAAGAGGATTCCTTTCCATGGCTGGTCTGGGGCCTTAGGGCGGTTGCTTATGACTCAGAACTGTGATGTACAGCGAGTTACTGGGCCACTGACAGGCTTTGCACATCCAGCCCTTGGCCCAGCAGTGCAGACCTATGCAACATTACATCAGATGCACTTCTTTGAGACATTGACCTAAATGGTGCAAGACCTTGAGTAATTAGGAAAAGAACACTCCCACCCACCCCGGTACCAGGGATCATTCTCAGGACCTTGTGCTTGCAAGGCAGGTGCGGTGCCACTGAGCTAAATCCCCTGCCCAAAAGAGCGTTCCATCTTCCCTGCAGTGTATCTATCCTGGGACACCAACTCCTCTGAGACTGTTCTTATCCACTTGCCCACTCAGGCCTGACATAAACTAGTACTACAAAAAGTGTTACGTAATTACATCTGGCAATGGTGTAAAATATATTCATAATGCAGAATGAAACTAAGCTCTTATCTATTAGCCTCTCTCAAGTATCAGTTATGAAATTCTGCCTAACATGATATATGAGATCAACATCAAATCAACTCGTTAGGTATGAAACTGCAGTAGCCAAGATTATACTGCTTTATTGAGTTGGGACCTAGCTATTCCTACTGAGCACTATTTTATCAAATAAGACTTTATTCTTCATAAATAAAACTTTGTGCACAGCATAATTGAAGTGGGTGTCTTTGGTGGGACATTCCTGAATGACATAATATTGTTCTTATTTCTAAATCAAGTGTTCAAAAGTGGAACACTTAGCATGTTATACATTGCTAGATTTTTTCATGTATGTTGCCTGATTGAATTTATACAATTCTTAAAATATCATGTTTTAATAGTCTAGATGTAAAAAAAAAAAGAGGCTGAGATAGCTTAAGAAAATTTTTTTTTCTCAAAGCCTCTACAATTTTCATACTATAGGAAATAACAGGGCATTTGTGTTACCATTAAATCTAAGATTTAAGAAGACTGATTTGTTTTTGCATTAATAGTTGATAGATAAGGTGGGGTATTCTCTTTCAAATAATTATTCTGGAAGATTATGTTTATACATGCATACCTTCATTTACAGGAGGAAAGAGAATCTCTTGATCAGCTCCTCCTCTGTTTTTCTCATGTTTGACGATACATCTGTGCTCTTTATCCATTGAATCTCCAGTCACTGTTAGCCAGCTGAGCTTCATGTAGGTGTCATTAGTCTTCACGGTGTCTCCCTGCAGGGACTTCAGAATCGTATCCCCATCTTTCTCTTTCCAGGATACCTTAATATCTTCAGGGAAAAACTTCTCCAAAAGACAAAGGTATGTTCCGGCCTTATGGAGCTTTGTTTCAGCAATTGAAGGAAGAAACATAATGGGCTTGGGGGAAATGTCCGTGTTAAACGTTTTGTCTGTGTGAAAAAGTGGAACATCAATAAAAAAGAAATCATTAGAGAAATACAAACACTTCGTGTTTCGTAAGCACCTAGGTCACGGCGATAGGAAGACGAGCTGGCTTGGTGGAAGTATTCACACTGATTATGTTCCTTAATGTATTGATGCGCTAAGAGGTTCAGGAAGTTAAGCAATTGGCAAAAAAGTGGCAGCTGTTAAGTGGCAGAGCCTAGGAGAAAACTTGGCCTTTGTCCTTTTCCACATGTTCAGATGGGACATGATTTTTAATTGTTCATAATTGAGGAATCCAACATCTGGGAGCCCATTCACTTTTTCATATCTCCTTTGTTTCCTCAAAGTGGAGAATGTTTTCAGGATGGGTGTCAGTGGAAGGGGAGGAGGCCAGTCCCTTGGATTATGTTTCTAGAGATAAGGATGTGGTCCCTTCTAAAGAGCTTCCCTTTCTCATCCTTTGTCACTCCTTCTGGCCAAGTAGCTGTCATTTTCATGTTCCGCCATCTTGTGCCACCCACTTTTCATGTACCTGTTTCTAGGATGCACCTTGTCTTTTTTTCATGAAATAAATACCAAGAGGAGGCTTTAATTCTTATAGCAATATGCTATCATTTCTTTTAGAGGCGATCTCACTCCACAAGTACCCAGGTCTAGCAAATGTGGAGCCCATGCCTAGCTTAACATTCCCTAGTTCTCAGTTAATCTCTGCTCTTACACATCAAGCTTTCACATCTGAACCCCCGTGGATGCTCGAGTTAGGCTCTACTTAAAACCGTACTTCCTAATATATCACAGCATCTGAATTTAGAAGCAAAATAGCATCATTTCCAAGAGTTCTAATAAAAATTTTATCAATCATTTTCAAAAGTGCTTTTGTGTTAATCTTATCAGTTAATGCACACCCAAATTTCATTTTGCATACTTCATGTTTACTAAAAATATACTTTAGTTTGGAAATTATTTTGAAATTCAAGTGTTTCTAACTATATACCACAGGTGTATTTTTCATATTTTGTGTAATACAAATTGGCCCTTTTATATTTTATACAGAGGTTTATACAGAGCTGCATATCCATATTTTATGCATATTTTATGCAGGTTTATGCAGAGCTGCATATCCATATTTTAATTCTCTGTATCTCTCTCAAAATTAGTATTTACCCAAACTCCTCATCTGCTTCAGAGATACACTATTCTTTTCATCACACCTACTGAATAAAGTGTAAAAATAATCGGTGCAAGTTTAAAAGTTATGCTTCCAGGGTTACTAGCAGACACAATGTGAAAACATATCACAAAGCCTCATATGTTTCCAAAGCCACATCATTTGTGTCTGAAATGTTAACTGGTTACATTTTTATTTTTAAGCCAATGATTTACAAATGTTGGAATTTCCTAACCTGATTTCCAATCAAGACTCAAATATAGGTAGTCAGTATTCTGTTTTGGCTAGTTTGAAGTTAGTATAGCAACTCACAAATATACACAACCAGTAAGCATATAACATGAACATTTCTGAGCATGTAATAAAAATATATGATGCTAAATTTATTTTAATTTCATACATCTTGCTTTCCGTGAGACCTATAAGACACTATTTTTCTCACTTTATATGTACTTAAAAAGCATGTAATTAAAAAGGATTAAAATTTTAATCGTGCATTATATTTATATAACTTAGCCTAAGTCAATACATTAAATCTAATTTTCATCTTAGGATCTTGTGTTTCTTCATGGGAATGCTTCAGATTCATTATTGCAAAGAAATTGAAAAATCAAATGATGAATTGGAAAACATTACAGGAGCACAGCCTTCATTGCTTCTTATTATCTCTGAGAAAGACTCAAGTTTCTTGCTTTTGAGGATAAAATGAATCTTTAACTTTCATAACTTTCTCGTGCAGTAGTTAGCTAACCATTGGATAGTGTACTTGACTATGTGTAGTTAGTATCTATACTTAGAATTCTTATTTTTTATATTACCTGATCTTTTTAGCATGACTTTTAAATTTTATGTATTTAGGGTATTTTCCATGGTCAAAACTTTTTCACCATGCATAGACTGAGTCCTATTTTATTTGAATATTGAATTGAACGACTACCATATAGTTATTTATTTTAACAATAAATCCGCCAACCTCATTTATCTATATTTACTCTCCTAATCCAACCACATATTTTGAGTTAAATTGTCTTAGTTTATATTTTAAGATGCAGCAATATGAATTGTATAGAAATTTGCCAAATGTCAGTGGCAACGTCTATTGAATGAATTATATTTTGAATCTAAACATGATTTATTCGTGTTTTCTATTCTTTTATCAAATATTTATTTCCTATTTAAATGTGTATTTCACATTTATGACAAATTTCCTACCATATTTAATTGATTTTGTAGCTTGACCATTTTCTGTGTGAATTTAAAGTTCTCTCTCATCAATATGGGGAGAAGTCTAATCTTACTGACTAAAAATTTCAGGATCAGTGAATATTGATATTTCAAGCACTATCTGTTAACATAAAAGATGCAGATTTACAGCACATATAACAATAACAATTTGGAAAAGCATGTTGTATTTTCATTTTTTGCCAAATGATGAAATATCTAAAGAGATAAAATATCTCCAGACTCATATTTTGTGAGTAGATGTTAAGACACCTTGCATTTCAGCAGTTAGAAGTACAACTCAATCCTATGGAGAATTTCTTCTCTATAAATGTTATTTGTTGATAACCACTTTCCAGACTGGATAAAATATTGTTTTTTAACTTTTGGATTGGAATAACTTTTATTGAACATCTATTATATGTGGGCCAAGGTATGAAGAACTTCATTTACATTATCACATTCAATTCTCATATAACCTTGCTGAATTCACACTGTTGACCCATTTTGTGGATTAGGAGACTGAGGCCAAAGAATAATCACCTCTGCTCACTGACCTGTTAATAATGGAGCTCGAAGGCTAGGTCTTTCTACCTGCCACACCCAGACTCTCCCACAACCCACTCGGCCCTGAGAAAAGGGAGTGATCTGTTCCACTCTGCTCCCCTGAGTCCAGCATGGGTTTATCCGTAATGATGAACTGCGTCCCACTGTCAACACTTTAGTGACATCACAGTATATGTTACATGGGAGCATTTTATAGACATTCCACATACAGAAAGCCACTGTCTATGCATTTACCTATATAAGGCTTTCTAACACAGTCTCTCCTAAGATTTTTACCTTGAATTTTCTTCCTAGTCTCCTTTCTTCTAACCACATTATATTTCAAATAAGATCATTTCTTGTCTTCTATTACCTTGTAAATGTTGGGTTACTCTGATACACACCTGTGACAATAAGTTTTGTTCCTCTACTGAAGGTTTTCTTTACTCCATACCCACAGTGATGGAACCCCTATCAAAAAACTTCACACGGTTTGAAGTCCCTGAATTCCTCAGTGTCTTGGCTGCTCGTGGCCTGAAGATCTATAGATTTCTGACTCTTTTGAGATTTCTGACTTCTCAGGTTTCTGACTCTGTTTTATTTTGCTCATAACAAGTTATATGGCTGAAAAGATCAAATGACTGAAGTTTTAGGTGTTTTATTTTCTTTAAAATAACAACGTCAATATAAATCAACTCAACCTTGGCTACCAGAACTGAGGTGACAGTAAAACTAACCATGATACAATTGGATTAAAAATACTGTAGAAACACAAGAGAAAATTATTTTAACAGCCCTGTCATAGTCAATTTGTTTGCTCTTTTGTGTCCAAAATGATATTTTTTTATCACTGCATATTTGCAGTACCTAATGTTTATGGTCCCTTATGTGGGGTTTGTACATGTACAAAACACATCCTAATTCCCCTTTTCATCTCCTACCCCCCACATCCCTTCTCCCTGTCTACATCTCTTGATTCCCTTCCCATTTGAGAAAATCTATCTCTCTACTTTCTTATCTGTCTTTTATTTTGCTCTTTATTTATACCTTGGGGTTTCCCATATAAGAGAAACCATGTGATATTAAGCTTTTATGTATAGTTTATTTCACTTACCACAGTCTCAAGATGCATCCATTTTCCCACAAATGAATCAAGTCTGTCCTTCTTCAGGGCACAGTAGTACTCCACTGTGTGTAAATAGCATATTTTCTTTATCTATTCATCTGTTGATGGGCATGTAGGCTGCTTCCCAGAGGTAGCTATTATGAATTGTGTTGTCATAAACATCGACTTTCATAGGACAAAGCCTTGCCTTTACTTACAGATACGCAACATTTTGCAGTTCCATTGGTGGCCCTTAAGGCTGAGCACATGTTTATGTGTCCTCAGTTTGTAGCCTGAATCTGACTTCATTCAGCTTATGGCAAGCCAAGTTGATAGCTCTGGCCTGGCCCTTCTGGGAAGCATGGCGACAGACACTTGGTCCTCCAGGTCACCTGAATGTGGCTATCTGCCTGACTCTATCTATATGAGGTCCCTGTCTGTGCAAGACGTTAGTGCAAGGAGGCCCATCACTCCGATGCCGTAGAGATGTGCAATGGCTTCTTTAAGGATCATTTCCTCCACGTCTCCAAATGGACGCAGAAGGCATGTTCTACCCCACACGCAACCATTTCCTCTTATAGGGACCATATACGGAAGCCTTTTTCTAATTTTACAATGGAAAAACATCAGAATAAAAAATTTGATGTGAGTCTCACCAGTGAATAAAGAGGATATATTCCTCCACATACTGGTTTCACGTTCAGGCATAAAATGTTACTATTTCTTGCTAAGTAATCCCTGGCTATTTTCTTTCTTCTTTCCTTATAGCTTTGACTTTCTATATTTTTTATGGTCTGACTATACTTTCGGGCTTTACTTTAAGTCTTCTCAGGTGGCTCTGCACTAGGCAGTTTGCATACATGATCCCCGGTTTGTACTAAAATGTTTCTCTTTTGACCTCAAGTTGTCTATTGTGCTGTAAGTTTAGCTCAAATAAGGCACAAGGGGTGGAGGATATGTCTACAAATCTTAGCTCTGCGATAAAATCTCAGACATGCTGAATTTAAACAGACTGATGACGTAGGAATTTAAGATGAATCTTTGTGTCCCTAAGTTATCTTTCACAATATAGGGGTCACTTTATGGTACATTCTATGTGTGGCCTCTCCTATGTAAAGGCATTCTTGTAGTACTCTTATCCAAAAATACAACTTGGGCACAAAAATCAACCTAAAATGATCTCAGTTAATACTGGTTTTGGAGATAGCACTATTAAAAGAAAAAAGCAAAGGAATTTAATATGCATTTGGTATTATTACTAGGGACTAAAGTCTGTACAGTTTGCACTTACTCAATACATAAATGCAATAATAATGAATGAAAAAATGTTTTCCTTTTGTATGTAAGTGAATAATTGGTTTGGGGGAGAAAACGTTCTCTGACACCACCATGTGAGGATTCCAAACAGACAGTCAGTCTACTGAAACAACACAGAAAAATTCTGAGCAAAAGTTTTAATGAAATTTCACTAAACAAAGTGCCTAACTACACAAGGCAAAAACATGAAACTAAAAAGAAATAATAGATTAGTGAAATATAAGAACTATTAGTTCTCGCTAGAGAACTGCCTTTTATATAACTACATGATCACTATAATCCTTGTTTACTTTGAAGTAAACTGAATAGTGTCAAATTAATATAGTTTCATCATGTTCTGTTAAGTCAGTGCTAAACTACTGTATCTTTTGCATAATTCTCTGTTTAATCTATGTTTTATGTTTACTTTTATTTGTTAAATTTTTGAAAATATTTGTTTATTTTTAATTGATAAATAAAAAGTATTTTTAATTTAAGGAAAAGGAAAGAAGGTAGTTCAGTGATATCTTTTCTGTAGTATAAACCAATTGAAATTAAACATTATAGATGGAAATGTAATCATAATATCTGTGTGTCAGTAAGTTTATATAACCAAGGTATGGAGAAAATGTCCTTTTTTTTTTTTTTTTACTTTGATAGATATTTGCGAGGAAGGTATGATCACTTTGAATTCAGCCAGATAATTTTGAGATCATGCATATTGGATTCTAATCACTTTTGGAAGCAAATCCTACTAGTATCAGAAATAAAGGAGGATGTTGCAGATACTGGTCATTTGTTCATATGTGAGCTGTTGATTAGGTGGTAGTTAATAAATTGATCAGTATTCTTAAATTTATATAGATCTGAATGGGTGGTAAATTGAATGGAGAAGAATGAATTAATTTTGAATCACCTATCAACTTCCAGCCATTGAGATAGGTAATTTGCATATTTAATTTCAGTGAATCATTACAGCATTCCTTGAGATATATCGCGTTATCCTCAGTTTACACATCAACTAAAAATGAGATGTTGCAAAGCTTGCTCAGTTAGTGAATAATGTAAGGACATTTGAGAAGAATGTCCAAGAAGTAGAGTAAAGTAAGGAAAAAAAAGTCATATCCATTATTGCCTGTCTATTATGCTTCTAATTCTGTAAAACAAACATAAAATATACACAGATACAGTAACTGAAGGATATATAAAAATAATAATTGTATCGGTAAGAATTTTTGATTACTCTTATATAATTTACAATTTGTCTAAAGGCAGCAGGCATTCAATGATTTTAATAAAGTATTAACTGTTGAATCAGAATATACCTGTTGACGGATGGATACATAGAAAGTGATAGCCCCAGAAGGCATTCTTCAGAATCAAAATTACATCTTCCCTTGTACTCCTAAAAATAATTTCCCAGAGAACTTATATTTTTCTCAGTATAACCATTATTTAATTTAATTGCTAAATCCCACATGGTTTTAAAGTAAGTTAATTTCTTCATATACTTTCAACCACTAAGGAAGGTACTACACGTTCAATTTTTCAATGCTTTTTCAAGTTTATGTAAAAAACTTCCATTTTAGTAGATACAATGGACTGGAATAATCCTTGTGGAATGGTCTCCCTTGTCCATGCAAAGCTGCTAAAAAATAAATTGCGAAACTGAATTTTAAAAAGAAAAATGTACCTTTCAAACTCTTGAATAGGGTCACACAATGAAATGCTTTTTTGTTTGGTTGGTTTTTGTTTGTTTCTTTTTGAGAAAGGGTCTCACTATGTAGTTCAGACTGACCTGAAACTCACTGCGTAGCCCAGGTGGGTCTCGAACTGACAGTGATCCTCCTGCCTCAGCCTCCCAAGTGCTGGGATTGCAGGCGTTAGCCACCACACCCAGACACAATGAAATGTTTTGACATTAGATAATATCCATCCTGGGATCAAAAAGCAAACATTTAATTCTGAGACCAAATGATTCCATATTTGATTTGATCATTTTCAGATTCCAATAAAATATGGAATCCAAAGATTTTACAAACTTTCCAAGAAAGAAGTAATAAACAAGCATAATTCCTCCATTCCCCAAACATCTTCAGTGGCCCTAAACACCTTGCTGATGTCTCCCATGCTGGGTCGGGGAAAGCCTGTCCCACAGCACCTGCACCAAGTCCCCTGACCTCTCCAGAGAGTCCACCGTAATGAGGCCCAAGCCAAGAGCCATTCCAAGCACTCTGAGTCAGCATCTTCCCTGAAACCTCCCACATCTGCATTCCTGCCTCCCCTGGCTACTTTGTCCTGCAGAACTGAAAGAAAATGGCCTATAAGTATGAGTTTTGTGAGAGCACCAAATCTTCGATTATTCTGCCCTTTATTTACATACTGTCCTTAAAAAAATCTCTCAAAAAGTTCCTTGTGTATCTTTCAATGTTTACACAAAAAGAGCAGTGGGCTCTGCCAACATTAAACAAAGACAAAGCTCAAACAAAATTAAGTAGACTTCAGTGTAGTTATGAAATCAAGGACGGAGCCTACCCTGCCTGGGAAGTATGAGTTATGTCTATTCTCATATCTCACATACTAGGAAAATCTGGTTTTATCTTTTCTCCTTGTTTGTAAAAAGCTTCTAAGGCTCTTCCCTCAAATATTTTTTTGGGTATAAAAGTCAATTCTTGACCTAAAGTATGATTTGGGTTATTTAACATTTATTTAATTTTAAGAAGAACTAATATTAACAAATATGTTTCATAGCATGTGCTAAGCATATGTTCAATATAATCTGGAGGTAATTTTGCCTTCCTATGCATGAAAGGATGGTAATCATAAGTGATTATAGAGCAGCTCCATTTTAGAATACAATTCCTCTTGATGGTAGACTTCCAAATTACTTTAGAATGTCTATACTCAATGATGATGTCTAATCAGTTCATATTCTGAGACCCACAACATGTCAGACTAAGATAAGTTTTATGGCAAACATTTTTTCTGCAAAATGTCTCTCAGTTTTTCACTATTGGGATAAAAATAACGGAAAGTTACTTACCAAGAGGAGTTACT